GGAAGACCCTATGTCTGGCAATAGGTCTCTGCACCATGCCACGCATCATCCCTGACATCTAGTCACCTAACTCCCCAGACTGCAACCACTTTGATTAATATGGGTGGGGCGCAGTTGAGCGAGAAACCAGTACAACTAACAAGAACCCCAAAGATGAACTGAAGGTCAGGATTATGGCAGCATTTACCAACTTAATCAAAGAGATCGGCCAGAAGAGTTGCAGGAAATTCCAAAGTCATCTGGAGGCAGTGGTTGAAGCCAATAGTGATTTTATTGAATGAATTTAGCCTTTAGCATTTCAAGATATTTTTGTATAATTTTGGTAAATATATCTGTTAAAATGAGATATCAGTGTTATTTTAATTCTTAGACGACAATTCATCCATCGCACAATGCAGTTGGACTCAGGGACAACACAAGACTCCGATGTCTTTGTTCACTGCGCATTTTTCTACCAGTGCAAGCAGCTGGTTTCCCTGTGCAAATAAAAGATAATATATTGACACGCAAGACAGATAAGATATATGAGAACTTAGCCCGCATACATACACGCATACCTAGATCGAATACGAACAAACACATACAAATATATGTATATATACACTCTTAGGTAAATCTAATTCATACTGATAATTTACTTAAATAAATTATATCTATAAAAATAACATATAAACAGAATATATATATATATATATATATATATATATATATATATATATATATATATATCTATATTTGTGTCTATTTAGGCAGCATTTTTCATTGATGCATGTTTCATTAAATAATATAGACGAGTTTTGTCTATTTTATGTAAATTCTTTTCATATCGTCTGATAAGCTTAATAGCATTATCATTAAAAGGAGAAAGAAAATCAAATATTGATACATATTTTTTAATCCTATCTAAGCTTTTGGCTTACATAAGCCATTATCAAAGATGACAATTACATTACAATATATTAAACAAGGCACGGACAAAACAATAATGATATTCCGTTTTTGTTTACATGGAAGATTTCCAAGCAGCGTCAAACTCGTGCGTATAAGACGCTGGAAGCGAAAATCGCACCGCAGCTCATGACGTCGCACATGACCACGCGAGAGTGAAAACGAGAAGTATTAAGTATGGGAAGTCGTTGGTATAAACCAATGGTCGATCTAAAACGAAACCGGAATTTCAGATACATATTTTTTCGACATGCAGATAGATACACTATTTACATTATTATATTTATCACAATGTTTTGGCCGTTGTACGCTCCGGCCTTCTTCAGGTTTTTGGAATGTCGAACTAAACCTTAAAGACACATGGCACAGTGGATAAGGGCGTTAGTTAGATCCAGTGACAAGACCCAAATAGTGTGAATTCAATTTCTGCTTAACGCGGTGGAGAAATTTGACAGGCGAATTAACAGACGATAACTGATAACTGACATGCAATAGACATGGCACGTGGAACTACCTCTGCGAACGAAAGTCTCTCTTAATAAGTTCGTGGGCTTCTATAATGTCAAAAAATGTTATACAGTTTCTGTTGAAGTGGTATTCATGTTAAAAAGGGATCAACGCCCTCTGTCGGATCAGGTTGAGATCATAGACAAAGAGCACCATTGGAAAATTCGTAAACTTAAGGAATCAGCACATATGCTAGGCCACAAAAATATCCTGAGCCGACCAAGGATAGAAATGAATACAATATTGGAACCAATAATAAGGAGTTCCAGAGAAAAAGCGATAATAACAAAAATTGCAATATGATCTCTGGTAAAACATTCCATAAAAATAGCAAAAATGGTTGCTGAAGACATTAGTTTTATAATGCCCAGAAATTCATACACAGATGTCCTCAAGAACACATGACACAATGGATAAAGGCGTTAGTTAGATCCCGTGACAGGACGCAAAGAGTGTGAGTTCAATACCCGGTTAAGGCGGTGGAGAACTTGGAAAGGGGAATTAACAGGAGATAACTGATAACAGAGATCCATTAGACATGGCACGTGAAACTGGAAAAGTTTCCCCCAGGGAGCGAAATAAAGGGTTCAGTTCGACACTCCAACCACCTGAAGATGGCCGGAGCTTACAACGGCCAAAACGCTGCGATAAATATGGCGACAAAGATGATGACAATAGTCCCAATAATGTAAATAGTGTACATAATACCTCATCTCAGAAATATAGACAGATACTGAAGGACCGAAACGTAGTAATAAATATGGCAACAAAGATGACGACAATAGTCCGATGAATGTAAATAGTGTACATAATACCTCATCTCAGAAATATAGACAGATACTGAAGGTCTAAAACGTTGTAATATATATGGCGACAAAGATGAGGACAATAGTCCGAATAATGTAAATAGTGTACATAATACCTCATCTCAGAAATATAGACAGATACTGAAAGATTATATTATTGTTTACACAGATTACAGACATATATTTATTTACAAGTTGTTAGAATCTTCAGGTTTTATGGTTTTGACACTAACTCTTACAGCGGTGAACTATTACAAACTTAACAAATAAATACATTCCCAGATACAAGATTTCCTTGATGTTATCCAGTTTTTACTCAATATTATCTTCTCTTTGATGAGTGCTTCAAGAGGAAACCATATACTTTCTAATTTCAGCAGCAACAATAAAAGTATAGTGAAAGAAAAACGAAAGGAATTTTTAAATTTTATTTTATCTGAATTAAGTACCGTGTCATAATTTAATTTTACATTTTAGGTTCATATTTCAGGTGCATATTTCAATATAAAATTGCGCACTTCGGTGTGATGTAATGATTTGAAAGTTTATTAAGCTAGATAGACTACAACTGAGTAGTGAGTTGGATCCTCACCGTGTGTTCCAGACATTTGGCCTTGTGCCACACAAGCTACGCTTAGAAAATTATTTAGGGAACCTTGACGTGCTGTAGTGGTTAGCGAGTTCCCTCGCTACATCAATTACAACTGAGTAGTGAGTTCGATTCTCACTGGGTGCTCCACACTTCTGACGTTTAGGGAACTTTGCTTCAGTGTTTGAAGTTAAACATTGGAGCTGTTTAACTTAAACATGAGGAATATCCTCACCAACTTCCTCTTCTATATTTTTCTTGTAGGAGATGAAATTTTAGAATGTACAGATGATTTCAAATGTTCTCTTTATTTCATACCCTGATAATTAAAATTCGAGAAATGGACGTACGGACAATAGAGCAAATAATTCATGAGTAATATAAACTGTACTTTTAATAAAAACGAAATGCAAACATTTTTTTTTTTTTTTTGTGGCTTTTTGTTTTTCCATGAAATAATTGTATATTCTCCCTGGATTTTGAAACTTAACGAGAAAGAGAAAGTGGCATAAACAAAATAATTAGAGATATGGCTGATAGCGCAAAGCAGAAAGTAATTGGCGTGAAGCAGCAGTTTGAAATATCGTCTCATTCATGTGTAGCAATTATCATCCTCACTATACAGGGTGTTGCAGCAAGATTCGTCACTTGACAAAAAGAAAACAAAATAGGCAATAAAAACAAAGGTTTTATATGCAGTGACCCGGCAGTTTGACAAATAACTAACGTTTTTCTCTATATCATTGCCCGTCCATGTTCACGATGCTAACAAAGGAATTCTAGCTCACACACAACATCGGTTTTTGGTAAGTACTTGAAAAAAATTAACTTAGCAAAGTTTATCCACAACTTCGAAAATTGGGAAAATACAATAAAATATTCAAAAGACAAACTTTGTGTGTTCTTATTAATCAAACCTGTTTCGATACATATACATCCACAGACAGAGTGTTTCAGTGTTTCATGGCTCATTCGTGTGGCTAGACATCCTATTGCCTCAAGGTGGGAAGAAAACCCGACTGATTTAGTAAAAGTATGAGAGTATAACCCCAAGCCATTGGCGCAATACAGAGATGGAGGTGAATTTAGATCAATTTATTTTTAGTTAAACACGTTGGTCAAGTACTTTCGACTTTATCAGATACAAGTTCTATTGTACAACACCCAAAAACACATACCTGTCCACCGGTCCACCTTCATATTACAGGAAAATACTTGACAAAATTAATATACAACATCACAAAAATAATAGACAGAAACTTCAAATTCTCGAGGCCCTCATATATAAATATCACAAAACAAATACTCAATAAAACGTTTTAAGAATATAGCCACAAAATATTAATGTGCGTATAACATTTATATACTAATACCATTTTACATTTCTACCAATTCCAGTTCAGTTATCTTATACTGAAACGTTTGTTTCGTAAAAAGATTCGTAACTACGATGAATAAATTTAAAAAAATCTAAAACAACTATAACAGAGCGCATGCTCGCGTATTTTTAAAAATCACTATGACAACGGAATGCAAATTTTATCGCAGTTACAATAACAAGATTGTCATTGTAATTTAACCCTGAAGATGATCTTACAAAATATTGAAAGTATTTAGACTAAAAAACTTTGGCCCCTTCCTTGAGGAATTTCATCTGAAGACCAAGAAACTGACTCGACAAAGGGAAAGGATCAGCATGAAATAAGTAAATCCGAATGTCTGTATTATTCAATGAAACATGTTTGAATATATATATATATATATATATATATATATATATATATATATATATATATATATATATATAAACACTAATATTCCATGGTTATAATTGAAATCGTAATCACGATCCAATTCATCAGACCTACAAATTCGTGAATTCGGCAATTTGTGGGTATGGTGAATTGGATCGGGATTACGATTCCAATGTAATAAATTATAAACATGGGATATTAGTGTTTGAGCCTTTTTTATTATATTCTTAGTCTGTCCAGGACATTGAGTTCTATCTGGATTCTATCCCCATCGGAATATATATATATATATATATATATATATATATTGACCACTAATATTATCAATTCAAAATTCAAAATGGGCAAGAATTATAGAAAACTGTGATTGCAACAGCAGCAACTTAGCCTGAGATGCTAAAAACCACTTAGATAGTTACTTAGAGAGAAAGAAAGATAGATAGATAGATACTTACATAGATATATAGATAGATAGTTACTTACATAGATAGATAGATAGATAGATAGATTGCAATCCGAAAAGATATTTCCTTTAAATGACACAATCGGTTTTAACTTTACGCTGGATCAACGGAACTACATTCGAGACAAAGAAATTAAAATTAAGAAGTAATAAAATAGTCACTGAGCAATCAGTAACGTCTCCCTTGCTTATACTTCATTCTCGATCCATTCCAACAGTTTTCGATTAATTCCAATACTCGTCCAAGTTACAACGGTCTATTTCCTCTCCCTCGCCTATTTAAGTCGGGTACTTACCGAAAATAACGTCACAGTGAATGTTGGCGCCAACGCCTGAAGACAAAATAGTTGGACGGTAATGGTGAAAACCTTCCCTCTTGCTCTATGATAAAGCGTATAAACATTACTTACGGATTTTTCTCCACAACTTTTTTTAATCATTTCATTCCAAACAAGGCCATAAAGACACTAAAATGCAAATGTTAACTGTTAGAGAATATCATAAAAAAACACTATTACGGGGAGAAAACAATAAAAGAACAAGAATTAACAAAACAGATGATCACGATTGAAATTGCATATAAATATTCGAAGATCAAAATTGTCTGTTAAGCAAGATGCCGAAAATGAATTCGACAACCGAAAAAGATAAAAGAAACTGTTACTATTGAACTTACGGTTAGATCTATCAAATTTCAACAGTAAAATGAGACGTCAATTTAATACTGGCCTTAAATTGATAAGGTCGATCTACCATAGAGGAAAGTCAATCAGAACAATTACCATGAAAGTATTTATAGAAAAGGCACAAAGATGCTACATTACGGCAGTAGGAAAATGTTGAAGCCTAGATGTTAGATCGGGACTAATAACATTGCATGCTCTTCTTTGGATTTTCTCAAGAAGCACCTGACCAGATACAGCAACAATAATCAAAGCAATGATAATTGGTTGACTTATAAATATGTAAAATAGATTATGGCAAAAAATTGTCTAACACGACACAGAGAAGCAATTTTCTGATAGACAGGCATGGAAGAGGATTGCATATAATCTTTACACTTCTTGTCAGCGAAAGAAGACATTGGAATATCAAATCCTACTTATGCTATAAAATGCTGAGGTGAAGTCTCTAAACATATTTTATATATTGCCCAATGTGCAAGTCTAAATGAATCCTCCTTTTCACCTTAACAGTTCAGTATTATTTATGAACATTGAAGTCAACACTCAGAAGCGACAGGCTGTTTCATGCTCGGGGCAATCGTCAGGCTGTGAATGTTGCATTTCTCCTCGACTTTTTATATATACGGTTCAGTGTTGCATTTTGGCTAATCTATTCTGGCGATTATTTTTGCGGGAGTCGCTAGTTTGTTTATTTATTTATTTGTTTGGGTTAATTTATTTGTTTTTCATTTTCATTATTTATTCTTTTCGGTTTTTGATGTTTTATTAACGAAGTAAAAACGAATTGGGATGGATTTAGGTCGCTTATTCCACAGTTAGTCTTGGTCTGGGAAGTTATTTAAGGCAATTTATTCGTTCAATGTTTAGAGTGCTTACCGTAGTCTATTCTGTTACTTTGTCGGGAGACAGTTTTTAATTAATTAATTTATTTATATATTTCGATTTATTATTTTTACTTGTTTTTGCTGATTTACGCCTATTTTCATTAGTTCTACGGGTATTTTAGCGGGGGTGATTTGTTAATTTGCTCATTTATATATTTATTTGAATTAATTTTTATTTGTTTTTATTTATTTACTTATTTTTATTTTGTATATTTCTATTTATTCTATTTGTTTTTTTTATTTTTGAGTAAAGTATTAATTTTTTTATCATTATTTAGTAGTTATAGCTACTTTTACGTCCAATATATATATATATATATATATATATATATATATATATATATATATATATAAAATGTATATATATTAAAAGAAAATCAAAAAGTGTTGATGTTACCATGAAAAACTTTATGACTTTTAACCCGATAAAATCTAGAACAAAAACGCCAATACTAAAAAAAAGAAAAGAAGGCCTAAAGGCAAACTTAACTCCGTAAAGAAAAACGCTCAAAACTTTATATTGCCTAGATCGAGGAAAAACCGTTTAACAACGTTAATATATATATATATATATATATATATATATATATATATATATATATATATATATATATATATATATGAATCAATGTGTTTTGTTGCAGTTGTTGAAAGGTTTGCAACCAATCAATCATGCTCTTTTCTCCTGTATATGAAAACGTGAGGAAAAATAAACCCTACATTTGTCTTGGATAGTTTTTTTCCGCTTGACTTTTTATTAATTTTAATCTTTTACAGATTCTCTCTATCAGATACTAATTTACACAATAGACACTAGTACACTGGTACACACACAGAAAGAAACACGTACATACATACAAACACACACCCACACACACACACACACATATATATATGTGTGTGTGTGTGTGTGTGTGTGCTTGTGTGGTCTTATGTAATTTTGTTTTTATTTTTCAAAAAAAAAAACAGTGCTCGATACACAAATAGAGCCTATATTATAATTATTTTATGATTACATCGCTCCATGTGATTAATTTGAAAAAAATAATTATCATAATTTTAAAAAATTAATCATAATATATATATATATATATATATATGAAAAGTGTGTTTATATAAATATAAATAAATATATATGTATATATAATTATTTATGTATTATATGCGCGGTACTTATTAGAAAGCGCTCAATATCAGAGATAGAGCTTACATATTTGGTTGGATTGATGTGAGTTTGTGACCTTGGGTTTCACGCTTTTGCGATCGTCAGACAAACTGATTAATTTTTTAAAAATTTGGGTTTATGTAGATTGCGTGTATTGGTGTTATCATGGGAGTGGGGGGAATCGTCGTCGTGATGTCAGTCATGCTAACGCAAACATAGATGCATGTCCGTACATCAGATGAGGTACGCAGACACACATACACACTTGCTTGTCCTTCGGGACTCATAAATATATAAACATATGTGGACAGTTTCGGATTTGACATATGTATGTATTTGGGTGGTGTTGTGTCTATACATAGGCATTTGTATGTTGAAATTCAAAGATTGGAAGTGTAGCGAAAATATCTCGTGAATGTCTCGTGAATGTATACATGTCAGCAATCAGAGCATTTTTCTATTTTTTCACTGAATAATATTTTCTCTTATGTATGTATATACGTGTGGTGGGGTCTGGGTAAAATTATGATAGGTAAAAATTACTATTATTTTTATTTTTAATTTTAAAAAAAGGGTTTATTTGTTATTATTTTAAAGCTGGTTATTTGCTTGTTTTTGATGACTGGTAGAAATTTCGCTTTGTAATCCTTATTGGTTATTTTATATGGTGGTATTTAATATTCTGGGGGAGGGGGTAGTTTACGTTAATAATTATAGCGGGTCTATATGATAATAGTAGATGTGATGTGGTAGTAATGTTGCAAGGGATTGGAGACAATGATAATATAAGTAAATAATTGCTATTGTAAATTGGTAGAAGTGATTAGTAATGGTGGTGGGAGAATGATAAAAACATTAAATGTAATTATTGTGGTGCTAGCTTGAACTAAAAAGTGATTGTTGGTGTTTTATTTTATTTTCTTATATATATTAATTTATTTTGGTATAAATCCTGATAATAGGTATTCTGTGTAAAATTATGATAGTTGCTATAATATTTATTTTTAATTGTTATTCTTTTAAAGCTGTTTATTTGCTTGTTTTTTTAGTTTTTTGATGACTGTGTATATGTGACTGGTAGAAATTTCAGTTTGTAATCCTTATTGGTTATTTTTATGGTGGTATTAAATATGCTGGGGGAGGGGGCAGTTTACGTTAATAATTATGACGGATTTATATGATAATAGTAGATGTGATGTGATAGTAATGTGTAAGGGGGTTGGTGACAATGATAATATAAGTGGTTAATAGTTATTGTAAATTGGTAGTAGTGATTAGTAATGGTGATGGGAGAATGATAAAAAGAATAAATGTAATTATTGTGGTGGTAGCTTGAACTGAAGAGTGATTGTTGGTGTTTTATTTTATTTTCTATATATATTTATTTATTTATTTTGGTATAAATCCTGGTAATAGGCCTGACGATTGCATACAGCATGAAGCAGCCTGTAGCCTCAAAGTGTTAACTTCAATGTTCACTTTCTTTTTTATATTTACATATACTCTAACTCTGATATTGAGCAATTTATCCCAAAAATATAGCACAACTATATTTCTTCACACACACACACACACACACACACACACACACACACACACACACACATATATATATATATATATATATATATATATATATATATATATATATATATATATACCTTATTCACCATATTCCCAACGGCTCAGGTGTAAAAATCCCAATTCAGCCGGATTTCGATTCTAGCTAGAGGCAACCTGACGTCTAGTCACACTGATGAGCTGTGATACAGCGAAACAGTCTGTCTGTGGATGCCTATATTTATATATAAATATATATATATATATATATATATATATATATATATATACACAAACACATGTCAGTGTATGTATTTTGGGGTGTACACATGCATTTAAAGACGAAATGAATAAATTTAAACACATTTTTTCGAAATTTCGAAAGACTTTGTACCTATTAGAAAACACTTCCCCTGTATATTATAACCTTGAATAAGTTCTAGCTGATTTTTCATGAAAAATAATGTTTTATTTACAAAAATTAATATGAAACGTGTCACTGAATGTATTGTCCATCGTTAGTGACTACTTTTTCTCATCTTTCTGGCAGCATTTGAATTTCACGTCGTATAAACGACACGTCATTTGAGGCTAACTACGAATCGACTCATTTATTGGCATCTTCATAAGAATGAAAGTGCTGCTCAGCCAGGCCATATGCCATCGATCCGAACAAATGGAATACGGCGGGTGGGGTATTACTTCCCATTTAAGCGTTTCCCAGTAAGTTTTCACCCGTTTTGCAACATGTGGCCTAGCGTTGTCATGTTGCAAAATCACCTTGTCGTGTCTCTGTTCGTTTAG